GGGACTCAAACAGAAGCACTCTGAAAAAGACAGCATTATTGTAGTCAAGCCCACCAAAGATACAGTAATGTTTCAAAATTCTGCTGAGACACAACTGCTCTAATTCTTGATATTTTCTTAATGTGACAGTAGGCTGTTTTTCTTTATTGTACATGAATGTCCCTAAATTTAGGTCTTGAGTCCATGACTACACCAAAATATCTGGCCTGGTATGTGGTCTTTAATGTAATTCTTGTATGGGACTCACCTGCTGATACTGTGATATAAATCTGTGTGTCGTCTGCATAATAATATTATGATATTTAGTTTTCTTCCATAATCTGGGATAGTGGGAGCTTGTAGATGTTGAGCGGAAGGGGCCTGAGAATGAAACCTTGGGGAACGCCACATGTCATTTTTTCAACCACATGGCAAAGCTGTAGGTGCAACACCAGTAGGACCAAAATGTCATTGTTGAAGTCAGCAATAGCAGCACTATTAGTATGTTTACACACCGTGAATATGGAGTCCAGGTCTGCTTGATGTTGTTGGGGAGACTGACCACTAGAGGCCACTGAGCTCTGCTTCTGACGTCTGTGAAAAACAACGTTGTGGGTAACATAAATTAAATTAAAATAACACCACACTCTCTTGTGTTGTTTTTAGGGCTGGGCAAGTTAATGCGTTATTATCAGAGTGGAGGGAAGCCTCAGCAAGACTACGTTGTTAAAAAGCAACTTATTTGTTTAAAGTGTAAAGTTGTGTATAGGCGCAAACTAAATGTTATTGCACTTTTGTTCATATACAGTAGCAGTACTTTTAAAATAAAAGTGCACAATACACTACTTTTGGATTCATTATTGAATTAACCGCAGAAAATCATGCAATTAATCGCGATTAAAAATTTTAATCGTTGCCCAGCACTAGTTGTTTTATTATAATTCATAGTCGAAACAAGAGATTAACACAATAAATGTCAAATATTTTAGAAGAGGAAACTAAATCAAGTTCTTCTCAGAAGAGTTGAATAATGATAAATGGATCTGTGTTCATTCTTACTGTTGTTCAACAGACATCTGTCCATGTTTGAAGTCAACAGGTCGACCCTTTGACCTGTCACTCTTCATGGACACACTGTCAGTTTCAGAGGAATTGGTTCTCTGCTGAGGGATCCTGCTTAAATGCAGCACTGATTAATATACATGTCAAGTAAATTCTACTTAGATATTTTGATGCAAAGCTTTCCTTATGTCAGAGAAAAGCCTTTCCCAGCTTAAATGCTTACCCTGGATGAGAAAACATCTGCCCATGTTTGAAGTCAACAGGTCGACCCTTTGAGCGGTCACTCTTCATGGACACACTCTCAGTTTCAGAGGGATCTGGTCTCTGCTGAGTGATCCTGTTTAAACGCAGCACTGATTAATGCACCTATGAAGTAAATTCGGCCTGGCTGCTTACATATTCCCTAATGTAAGATATTTTAAAACAAAATATATTTTTTTTCAGAGATATGCTTTTTACTGCTCCAAATGCTCACCCTGGAAGAGAAGACATCTGTCCATGTTTGAAGTCAACAGGTCGACCCTTTGACCGGTCACTCTTCATGGACACACAGCTGGGTTCAGAGGGATCTGGTCTCTGCTGAGGGATCCTGTTAAAACACAAAATTGATTAATGCACCTTTCAAGTAAACTCATATCTAAAATGAAAAGAAGGAAAATCTTAAAGGGACACTTCGCCCATTTACATTAAGCATATATATATCATTTGAAGCCCAGTCATATT